AGTTTCTTGGTGTGTGATAATACTCTTTGTGTGCAGAGATGCCATCACACACTGGTTAGATACCGGTTACTAGAAAATGCTTACGGGTGATACACCTGGCCTTTCTAAGAGAACTCTGAATGTGGACTTCAGTCTTAGAAGGTGAGAAATATCCTCATCTAAGAGGGGAAACTCAAGGAATACGAGTGACATTTCTGTGAATTGGGCACATAGCTTTGCCCCTACATTTGAGCACAACTTTGTAACTACAGACACCTCATTTCTTTTACATGGGTGATTTTCATAGGATCTCCCTTTCTTGCTCAGAAAGGTTTAAGTTGCATCAATTATACCTCCTCTTTTGACAAGGGAAATTAACTGACTTCAGAAAACTGTATTTTTCAGATTTCATCATTAAAAAAATACTTCAACTCCATGGTAGCCACTTATTTATGGTTCTTTTAACAGTTGTTTAATCAACCAGTGCAAACTATTGCAAGCATTATAAAAGGCAACGGGACAATACATAACCTAGAGTAGTAGTCCGTAACGATTCATTACACCACGGAGAATACTATGAGAGTTTATAACTACTGCTTATAAAATACTTTAAGAATGTCTTGAACTTTTGTTGACGTGAAATTATATGAACTTATGTTATGTTGATATGGAATTACATATAAAGCTGCCAAAGCTGCTCATTTTTTCACACAATATCAATAAGCAGGAACAGTGTGGCAATTTGAAAGTTTCTGGAAATGAAATTAGCAATTTCCAGCCTGGAGAAATGCATCAGGAAGGGCTGTAGTGCTTCTGAAAAGGGTAAAAAAAGGAAGCCCACAGTCACTAGAATCATAGCCATAGCCAGAAGTTTATCACTGGCTATGAAGACCATCAATCTAGGCAACAGCTTACACAATACAAAAGGTTTGAACCCAGAAGAATAGTTCATGCTATCCATGTTTAGTAAGTACTCGACACTCATAGATTTAAAAGATTTAAAATCTTTAAGTATGTGCTTCTCTTCTGTTCTGCACAGGGTTCTTTTTTGTATCAAATGCTATGAAAACATATTTTCATCTCAGTCCCGTGAAAACTGTAGCATTTGTTGGCACAAAACGCATTAATATGAAATTATTTTAATGTGTTGACAACATAAAATTTCCAGAGCCTAATTTTCTTGCAGTAATATAGTGTGTTCAGTTCTGCACTGGGTATTTGGTTCAGTGACAGTTTCTTGCAGAAGGCATTACCTTTTGAATCAGCCACATCACTTGTGGTATGTCTTCTGTTGTCAGGGAAGATCTCAGCCAAAAATGGAGTGGTGGGTAATCAGATGGAAACAAGCAATATTTGTTGTAAGAGACACGACTGTAAAAGAGCCAAAATGCAGTAATCCTGGTACATATACTGAATTCCTAATGAATTTTTAATGACTTCTTTTGGTAGAGAGACAATTTAATGTACTGATTCATGTTCCCTGTGCGTATCAAAATCTTTTCTCATCTCCAAGTAGAATGAAAAGGTCAGGTCTTCTGCTCACATATACAACAATGCAGGAATACAGTAAATGTAGCCCTATTGCACTTCTCTTTGAAGGAGGGCTATCTTCTTTTACAGCTACATGTGTTGACGTACCATAAATAAGTTAATTTATGTTTCATACTGTTGTCAACGAAAATCCTCCTACGTAAACTAGCACACTGCATTTGCACCTACAAAAAAATTATTACTTACATGACTGATTCCCAGTTCAGCACAACTCTCTCTTTAAAACAGGAGAAAAAAATGCCACTATTAATGGCAGAGCTGTCAAGACAGCATCATAAAGACTCAGAGTGTTTCAAGACAAAGCCAAATTGTCAATCTCTACTGCAGCTTGCAGAAGGAGGAAAAAAAGAGTCTGATTGTCGAAAGTGAAATAATGTAAAAGAAAACTTAGTTCAAACTTATGAACTGTATCAGGTAAGAAGGGCTGATGTGATTCTGTGTAGATTTACTTTGAAAACCATCGGTTTCTCTTACTGATGAATGACTCCATTTGCTCTGTACTTTTTAGGTATGGAGAGTAGCTCCTGGTCTCACAGAATCTTCTGTAGTTGCCTATGCTCTTTATAAGTTGTTGGGGTGCGGAAGAGGGATAGGGATTTCTCACAGTAACACTTGGTAAATCAGAAACAGTACTTCTTCACACACCTAATTCCTTAATCTTTTTTGAGGTGCACATGCAAGTTTGCCTATTAATAAGAATCCATATACTACTGTACTGTGGTATGTACCATATTACAGCAATATATCTGAAAGCTGAATAGCTTTCTATTGATGAATTATTATAGATAGCTACGTTAGTTAATGGCTGAAGCAGATAGCAGTGGATAGCTTAGGTTACAAGAAAGGAAGAAGGGCAGTAATATTTCATGTTACCTAGTCACCTTTAGCACTGTCTAGAGCCCTAGTAGGTGACATTGATAACCAAAGGAGAACTCAGCTTTTTCTTCTATTCCTGGAAATGAGTTGAAGGACAGGGAAAAAAATGTCAAGAACTTAGACTAATTGTTGTATTCAGAGGTGAATTGTTAGATGCAAGACAGTAGGAGCCCTGCAACTAAAGCTCTATAAAATGTAAGCAGGACTGGCATTAGGAAATATAACTCACCAATTGTGCTGTCAATTCTGACTTTTATGATCTAAACACAGGATTTATTCTGCTTGCTTGGGAAATTCCTAGCTATAGGAACTGATTCAGCACAACTCTCTTGAACTTACGCTCTGAGCAATCATTTGCAACAGCCTTTGTAGCTACATCATTGTTCTGTCCATGATGTGAGCTGAGAAGCATAACACAACATAAAGGCCAGATTTAAGGTTCTGTTACGTATCCAAATTACTTCATTCCATTTGCTAGTTGGTTCCATGAACGGCCACCATTTCTGAATTACCTCAGGTGGGCAGTTGGACTTGATGATTTTAGAGTTTTTTTCCAACCTTGGTGATTCTGTGATTCTATGATTCTATGATTAACTTTGTCTCCATTAGCTCTTCTGCTGCTGCTGCTTCCAGTACTCTTCAACAGAGTTAACTCCAGTTTAGGGACCAACAAGAAGAGCTGTTTGAGTTTCTGTCACTGCTTAAATGGTCCATACCAAGTAGGAGTAACGAATGTTAACATCAGATTAATGCCTAAAGCTTTTCATTTTCTGTTTTAATACAGTAGACAAACTAAACTGTGAGTTATTCATTCATGTCTAGTTCCTGGCAACTGAGCAACAGTGTAATTTACTGAAGACAGCCAACTTATACAACAGAACGGCATCTGGAAAAGTGCACGTTAACAGCTAATAAGGTTTTTTTCTGACTCTCACAAATAGAGTGTGCTGTTAACCTTAGTAAGCAAATATGAAATGCAGAAATTAAAAAACAGTCATTAAAAGTGGAAAATGGCTGTCCGGAAGGGGATCAAGAATGGCCAAAGAAAAGCAGTAAATGAGAAAGAGAGGCAGACAACCTTAAATGTCAGGTTATTGAGGACTTAGGAAGTTAAAGCACCCATGATGGAACTCCTTTCACATACCTTTAGACACTATTTACAAAGGAGCAAGCTTATAGTCAACAAGGAGAAACAGGCACAAATCTGAGCTGTTTTAGACTCCCACATTAGAAACACACACCAGCTGACTCCCTGTTCCTCTGCTGCCAGTGCACTACATCGCAGAGCAGGTTCATCCTCTTTCAAGTCAAGATGTTTGCCCAGGAAGTTTCCAGAAAGGACTGGAGTATTGACATATCATATCCTCTGGGTTCTCTGTAAACCTCAGATCTGGTGTCCTCTTACCCTCATATAGGCCCAATATTTTAGACAATTATTTTTATGCGGTCTTAAATGCCAGTACAAATACATACAATTATCATGTAACTACCCAGGATAGAGTCTGTCCTGGGTTTCTTTCCTAAGAATACTCAATACTTTCCTTAGCAAGATAACATTTGTTATGCATAGTAATTAAGGTGGTGTTTTGTTTTGAGATCAGGGTTATTGAACTTCATCAGTGTTAAAGATAGTTTTGAAACCACTTCAGTTAAATGGTACTAACTGCACGGTACTTTGGGCCAGGTTCTTGACATTTCAGTCATGAATATTTCTGCTGTAAGAGATATTCTATGATTTCAGATTTCATTCTTGTTTGTGTGCAAAAGCACTACTTTTGCTTCAAAGAATGTGCAACAGAAGAAGTAATGTCTTTGATTTGTTAACATTACACCTGAACAAAAAGCCAGAGAGACTTGTCACTAATTCTGGCAAAATGAAATCCAACCCAGGAGAAAATGTAAGGGTCCTGGGGCATCATGAGCACAGTTTCATTTCTACAATACAATCAAGAATACCTCCTTTCCACACAACATTAGGTGCTCCCCATGACAACTGGAATTGGGATCTGAGATTTAGTGCTTCTTTGAAAATCTTGTTTAACTTTTCTTATGTCCCATAGCTTGATTCAGTCTTGGTACATCCCTTACATGCCTTAAAAAGTATCTGATTCTGAATAACGAAACCAACCTTCTCACATCTCAGATCAGAACTGCATCTGATATATCTACACTTTATCAGGAGCTGGAATAACCTGTGGCTGCTTTTTCACAAGCACTGAGCGTGCAAGCTGAGAACCAGTGGAATCCGGACCTCTTCCCGCTCCATTGCATTAAGGTATTCAAATTCAATGTTTAAGCTGTGAATATGAGCTGCTGTTAATTATCAGCCAGATTATTGGCATAATTATTTTTTGGCACAATTCTATCTCTATAAAATGGGTCTAATCATGTTTTCAGTTCAGGGGAGTGAAATGACTGCAGTGATACAAAATGCCACAGCATTTTGAAAATGACAGCAGAATGTTTTTCATTCCAGTCAAATGCTATAGTGAAAACATCAATAAGAACTCCATGGAGAGATAAACTTGTCTCTGAGTTGCACAGTACACACTGTCATGGTGAAGACATAGCAGAACTATTCTTACTTCTTACACACTGGGACTGTCCATCCAGGACGGAAGGAAAGGAATCTAGAGGGGGGAAAAAAAAAAAGTATGTGATCATATCATTAAAAACAGACAGCAATATATTCAAAAACAGAATCCCACTTTTTATAACAACATTTTGTCACTTGCAAAAATCTTATTGACAAACTAGCTACTATATTCACTGTGAAAGGATTATATCCTAGCTAAATGTCCTTTCTGCATACAGCCCAAGTAGCACAGATGACCAAAGAGAGGCAACAGTGGAGCTTTGGTTATTTCAGTACAAAATCTGCTGCTGCAGACTAAACTGACAAAGGTGGCTTCCAGTTAAGATAATGCACTTGGCACAGAGGCAGTTAGGAATTAACTCCTGTTGTCTGGCAGTACAGAAGATGCATGTGACAATTTCCTAGCACAGAAAACTTCAGCTGTGCTTCTTAGCCCCCATAAGTAACTGAAAGACCAGTTTTCCAAATGCATTTGGGCACCTAAAGGTACACCTGAGGACAATCATTGTCACCTGCCTAATTCCCACTGAAAAATATGCAGTCAGGTAATTAATTTTAATTTTCATTATCTAAAAGAAAAAAAATAAACCTAGTCTCTTAAAAGCTGTGTATTTTTTCTCTGAACCACGCTCTGTGGACACTAGAAATAAATGTACACAGGCAGCCTTTGTTTTGGCGTTTCCTAGCTTTTTAATATTAGTCTTTCCCTTCCTAAGAATACCATCTGAAACAATTTCCATGCATGAAACAATGAATCTACCAGTACTAACAAAAGATTTTACATTAATAACGAGAGAATTTTCATTCATATTCATAGTTAACCAAAAAATGAACATGATTTCTATGTTGTAACTCTCACACTATCTGTCAATTTAAATCATTTCCCCTCTTTTTGTATGCTTCACTTAGCTTTCATCCCCTTGAACATGTTTCTCTATTTTGATCATCGCATCCTTCTACAAGAAACCTCTTCAGCGTTGTCTGTTTTCTAATAAGTCTGTTTTCTTATATTTCAGTGATCCGTTGCCTCATTTACTCCAGCTTTCCCTATAACTTATGTTACCTTATTTAGCCCTTGAAAACACCCACGGGGAATATTACCTCAGCATCTTATCACAACTGTAAAGCTGAAGCTACGATTCTGATGTGCAATATGCTATTATCTTCAGGAAGGCATCCTGCATATATTAGGCTAATATTTACCAATGTGCTAATGTAACGCTGACCAAGCTGCCTCTGCTCCTCTCCGGGGCACCTTCTATCGATACGGATGGGAATTAATGACAGTCTCTCTCTCTGCTGCCTGATGTCAGAGCTGAGAAAGGTGTGAAGGGTATATAAGAGCTGTATTGTCAGCAAGGAAGTGGGGAAAAGGGATACTCCAGAGCCAGGTGCAAGTGTGGAACTGTGGCATGCACCCTTCTCGCTAACGCAGGTGTCCTTCTCCAGTTAGTTCCCTGACCATTACAAGGTAAACATTTTCCTTTTTTTTCTTATTTAAGATGCAGTGCAATAGATGTGCTTTTAGGAAAACGTGTTCCAATGATTAATCAACAGCATTTTTTCAGGAAAAGGCTAAAATGACTTGAAGGTAAATTGCACCTGGGACCAAAATTTGAGATCAGGACATGCCAGGAAATGCAAACTCGAGATATGGGAAAGGATTGACACTATTAGATGAAAAATAAATGCTTACTGTTGAGAGATTTCTCTCTGAATTTGCCTGTCACTAAACTTGTGGGAATCATTTTTTCACTCTAGCCTATGAAAAAGACCAGCTACTGTTGATTTAGGACAGAATGGTCATCAGTCACAGGATATGCTGAGGAGTATTTGGCATTGCTCTCAATTCTCAATCATTTTTCTTTTCAGAAAGTTTGGAAGCAAAGATGTGCAACCTAAAGCTGTCAGTTTTCTTCATTGTACTTTCTGTCACCCTGAGCTGTTTGGAAGCTACATCTATTGAGAAGTGAGTAATAAGTAATCATGTTTATTTCTGTATAGGGGTAGCTTTCCAATTATTGCATGAATTGTTTTTACTTTCATGCCTAAAATAACATGAGCAGAAATAGAGCTATTCAGTATCACAGAGTATTTTATCGTTTAAAGATTATTATCTGTGAGTGACGATCTCTCTGATGGGACTTCCAAGAGGCAAGAGTGGATACTGCCCATAATGTCACAGAACACACTCTCAGGACTTAGTGAGAAAATGCCGGGACAGCCAGCAGCAAAGACAAAAAGGTATTGATTTCTCATGCTTCTTCTTGATGTGTCACAAGTAAAATGAAGTAAAATGAAGTAAAATTTAAACTGGTGATATTCTGTTAAGATTCTTCATGCCTCTTATTTCTCGTAAAATACTCTTCCTGTAAACAGAGCCACTCCATAAGCAGGATAAAAAGTAAATCCAGAGAAAAAAGTTGAACATCATTTGTTACTTCACAATTACAGCCCTTCCATAAATGAAAAAAGCTTGCAAATACTACATTACCTTGAGAAGTAAAGTCTATCATAAGAGGTTTTTTTAATTTAAACATCAAATCTCCAAGCCTAAAGGAGAAATAAAAAGAAAACATATCCTGCTTAATAACACAAGTGCTTTGACAGAATAGAATTCTTTTAAAATTTAACTACTTCCTGAAATTGAATAATATTTCATTAGTGTTACATGCCAATTTAATCATGGGAAGAATGAAGAAACTGGCTCTGATAGAGTTTAAGTAGTCTGAAATACATACATTCATGTTTATAGAGCCCTAAATCCAATTTCAGGTAATGTTTTGACTATAAAATAACATTTCAAAAAGTACTTGCAATTTCTGCTAAATGATAAACAGCACTGAATGCTCAATCTTGCCTTTTGAACAGTACTCTTTCAATGACAGTTCTGCTATAGATAGACTCAGTAAATATATGTAGAGTTATCTGTTTCTTTCAATTAAATAAATATTACCATATAACAATTTGGCTCCCTTCCAAAATAATAATGGAGACTACGTGCATTTATACAGTTCTTGCTTTTTAAAAATCTATATATATATATATATATATATATGTGTATATTGTAGTAATCAAACACAGGGCATCACCTCTATGAGTGTGGTATCCTTACCTGCTTTTTTGAGATGTTTGTATACAATATTACTGGGTGAAGTGTTTCAAAGCACATATTCAATTAAAGGCTATCGATCAGAAAGCTAAAAAGCTAATAGACATAATGGTTTCAGCCAGTCTTAACACTGGGTAGAAATCTGGTAACTTCCTGTAAGAACTGAGGTTTTAAACTTGGAGTGGCAGGGTCTGATTTGATACCATTAAAGAAAAGGAGAATTCTGCCTCCACTAACAAATGAGGATTTTCATTATAAACAGTTGCTGTTTGAACCCCATATGTTAAGGGCTTCATTAAACTCTTTTTAAATAATAGAAATATCAAGAAAAATCTATGAAGAGCTATATCAAACCCTATGCAAACATTTAGTTAAAATATTGATTACTTAAAAATTGCTGCCTATTTGCTGATCAAAACTGGTATACTACAGACATTTCTCTCATAATTGCTATTCCATTTGCATTCTTAGATTAGCACAACTAACCCTCAAAGAATAGATGACATTTGAGATAATGGATTTAGTCAATCAATAGGAAAAAGTATTCACTGGTAATTGCTCAGAGTTTGAAACTAAAATTGGAACTCTTCACAGTGAATTTCTACTGAAAACTGCAGTCTACTCCATGCCATGTTAATGTGAAGAAACCAAAGAAAATTAACAATAATTCTATAAGCAAACGGCCATCAAATATTTATGTGAGGAGGGGAAGCAGAGTAGTTTCAGAAGTTGTAAAGCCCGTGCTCTTTCAAGCCAATCATTGTATTGTGTTTAAAACAAAGATCTAATGCTGCTTAAGTCCTACGTTTGTAAATGGTTGGTTCAGAGCATTAAATATTATTTTTAGGTAAGGACTCTTCCACGGGAACTCTTTAAAGCCTTATCCAGAAAATGATGACCTCCTACACGATTGCAGATGTTTTAACAAAGATGTGGCCCCTTTTCACTATTGAAGAAATCCCTATTAAGACAGAACTAAATCCTCAGTGGTACTGAAGCCAGCAGCGGTCGGCAATATCTGCCACCTCTCACATTAGATGGCACAGCTGGGAGAGCCTTCTGGCTCAATCCATTTAGCATGGACTGAAAGATCACTGTTTGGTGAGAGCAGGGTATGATTTGGAGGGAAGAAGAGAACTAAATACATGTTAGTGGTTGCCATTACATTAGTAATCCTCATGATATCAGCAAGAGCTCTGAATAGACTTAGAAGTTCAGCTTAAAGGTAAACATTTAGTCATTGTTTTCACTTACTGTCTTAACTATACTATCATTAGAGATTTTCTAGATGTCATAAACTGCTATTCTGAATATCAATAAAAATGACATATGACTGTTAAGGTTAGCATTTAAATAACCCCCATCATTAAAACTGATAATAGCATACAGTGCAAAAAAGAAAAATTCAGGCACAAAGTAGGTGGAAGGAAGATTGTAATGTTCCTGTATTTGTGCACATATTAAAAGAACTCTCACATTAGCACAGTTCAAAAGCCTTTTAGAAGCAGCACACCTGATTGCTCATCATTTGACTTCATGACCTCATCTTGGTTCTTCTTTTTTTTTTTTTTTACATCAGTGGTCACCACCTGGAGAAACGGAAGTGCAACACTGCTACATGTGTGACACAACGCTTGGCTGACTTCTTAGTTCGTTCCAGCAGCAACATCGGAGCAATTTATTCACCTACTAATGTGGGGTCCAATACATATGGAAAGAGGGACACAGCTGGGCTTTTAAGCAGAAAATCCCAAAACAATACAAATCTTTAGGGTGTCGTAATGACTATCAATACAGTTTTAGTTAGGAGCTCAGTTTCTAATGTAATCTTTTGGTCAATTATTACTTGTACAGTCTTAACAGTGCCTTGTTTTCTTTGTGTACGTGTATGTAATTTATGCATGTGTAACATCATGCATAGGCTATTTCAAATCCTTTAGAACTCCAGAAATCTGCTTGTCAAATTTCTTCGTAAAAAACAAGAAACAAAAAACTATAATAAATGGCAGAATAATTCCAACTTTTTATTATTTTATTATTGTTATTATTAAAAGGCTAAAAAGATCAACATGATGTGTATGTCTTTATAGTCACAGTTTGGTGAGAAGAAACCATTCATCTTAATTAAGACCAACAAAAAACAGAACACTAAAAGAAGTTATTTCCTAATTTAGGTAAAACAGAAGAATCTTCTGGCTTGGAAATGGTTACAGAGCCTTTTTTTTTCCCAGGTGAAAGAACAATTAGATGAGATACTATGGTTGTACAGTCTGATTAGTAGACTAATTAACTGTCTTGTCTCCCTCCACCATTAAGAGCCTGAAAATACCAGAAGTAGCCTTGCAGTGTAGGTTTCCACACAGTGAGGATAGGATATTAAGAGTTTATTACCCTTACTATAAGATGGTATCAGCAAAAGTAAGCATCACGAGCGTATCTTCATTTCAAACTGGTAGAAATACTTCTCTTTGAGTATTCCTTTCCTTGAACTTAAGTAATAAAGAGAAAAAAACAAATGGCAATTCAGGTATCAAAACATACCATAGATGTAAAGTAAATCTGCCTTCTGGCATACAAATATTTCTACCAACATTCAAGAAAACTCGATCATAATGGGCAGATCATAATGGAATTCTGACAGTGTCATTTTGTCCTACCACAGTCCAGTATCAGCGCATGCTAAATAACCATATTTGTTCCTTTAAAATGCTAAGTGAACTTTCACAGAGATAACATCAGTGGTTGTTTAATCCAGTGCTTTCTCAGTGGAGACTTCACTATCAGCTGGAAAATATGACTGTTCAATTAAGAAGAACATTCAGTAGAAGCTCAGGGCTGGAGAAGCAAGTGAAATCTTAATTGTCATTGTTTCATTTGCCTCTGTCATAAAGAATGCCTCAAAATACAAAAGACACATTGCAGAGTTTAATATTACATGGTACTTTTCCTTCATTCCACAAATATCACATGGGAATAAAATTTACTGAACAATTTTTCTGCTGTAAAACTGTTACCGATTATTCTGTTGAGAAAAGTTTCACTCTTCAGCAATGTTCTAATGAATATTTATTCTTAAAGTTACTGAGAAAATCATTCAGATGGTATTAAACTTGTATCATATTTCTACCAGCTTGAAACGCTTTCCATTCAAGCTATTTTTGAGATATGTTAGGCAGTGGGTTTAAATTGTTTTTCAGCTAGAATATTCACTTTTCAGTAAGCAAACAAGAAAATGACAGGATAGCTTTCAAATGTCACCATGACATTGTTTGTACAGAGGAGTAACTAGGAATCCTCACTGCAAGTGGGTGCTGATTTCTAGGCTAATCCCAGCCTGAAATATGTACAATGCGTTATGCATCAACTTTTGCTCTTCAAGCTGCCATATGACAAAACAAAGCATAGACTATCTATGCTTAGTTGCAAGGGAATTGTATACACTACTTTCTGCCCTCTGCCCTTCCAAACCTGAAAGGTTCAACACTAAAATCTATTTATCGTGTTTGCCTCCATTTGACAAAATATTTAAAAACATTACTCATCTCCCAAACCAGGGAACCATCTCACATAACTTCAACTAGCCCGTCATCAGCTCACTCCTGCTACTTGCTGGAGAAAGGTAGCTACTTCCAATTCATCGCAGCTTAGACACCTATTTTAGGATGGGATGAATCATGCTCTTGAAGAGCCTCTGTTTCTTCACTGACAATATAGAGTGTCTAGACAATTAACTAAAATGGGTACTTTCACTGCAGTTAGATGGCATGAATCCAACTTTCAGTTGATATGAACAGTTCAACTTAAAAAAATGTTTGGTACAGCGAAACACACAAAAAAACTTTCAGGCTCCAAATCATCAGAGTGACCAAATTTCCCATTCTGAACTAAAGTAATAAATTCATCCATTTGGAGCACCTTGAGGAACTGCCTGCAGAGTTGCATCCTCATACATATCTTTGAGAATGCAACTCTGCTACCCTTCCTGCTCCTGCGTAGGTACCACCAGTTGCACCTAGACTAGTTAAAGAAGAAGGATCTAATCATGATAAGCCTGGATAAAATACTTAGCACAATAGTTAGAGATTAACTCAGTATAAGAGATGGATTTAAAAAGAAAAAAAATGCATGTAATCATAAAGCCCCTAAACAGCATAATTTCAGACACTGCAGAACATGAAGACTGTTGGGTGAAGCCTAAATAACAAAAGAAAAAAACAAAAACAAAACAAAACAAAAAAATTCCTCTAAACACTTCTTAAAATCCCAATATGTATTCATCTGGACTCTGGGAAGATAAATATTTGCTGAGAATCAAGTCTCTGCTCTTTTTCAGTTCATCTGGACACTCCACAGCTTTCAGAAAAGAGGAAAAAAAAGAAAAATCATAAAAGACGAAAATCAATAATGTAAATTATGTGACAAATAAGGCCATTTTCTGTTT